TTGGTTTAACCCATAGATTTTTATGTAACAACATTCCTTTCGGTTTTCCCTTGGTAAGAAAATGAGGCAGATTATTTCTACACACAGGGGTCGCTTAAAAAAACCCTGTAGGCAAACTCAAAGAGTTGACCCGGGCTGTATCCTTATATATCTCTTCATCCAGACCAAAACTGCTTTTTATTTTGTAATAATTAATTTGTCATCCGTAGAGCGCTCAGCTACATACATACACGAACGTTTATCCATTTGGCACTTAGCAAATCATGTTAATTTCTGCACATTGGTTATAAACATGAATCTGTAAGCATAAAGATATAAAACACATGAGTCTGCGCATTAAAACTTACTTTGTTGTTCATACGAAATGCACTTCACGCATTGCAGGAGCAAAAATACAGCCGGATTAAAACTATTCGAAAATCTTGTAAACATTTAAATATTTGCAAAATTAACTTGTATTTACCTTGCAAATTCAGGCGGATTGAAAATTCCATCACCATTTTGGAAAATCGGGACTGCCTCCACCTCTACAGAAGTATTCAAATCTTTGAAAAATACATGAATGGATTTCTCATGGTGCGAGTAATTCCAATCATGCTGGTCTGCACGCTAATGCTGCAAATCCTCTCGCAGCACAGATGAGAAATGTAGCTTTGTTAGATATCTTTCTAAGATATCTTTCTAAGATATCTTTTGTCGTATGCTCTCGCAGTACATCTGCTTCGATCTCCATTCCAAGATCGCGATGCCAGGCTTTCTCGTATTCCCCCTTTTCCTCCTGGACGCCGCACTATGGGCCAGATTTAATAAATTTTGGCCAAAAATATATAGAAGCCGAATTTGAAGAAACAAAAGTTAGATTTTGGTGTGAAACGATAACCTAAGGCATATATTATATGTGCAAATTTTTAATAGTCACATGCCACACCCCCAGTGGGTGTGGTCCTCGGCGACTTTTCGATTTCAACGAACCAATGTCATGTGATATATCATTTTTCTCAGCTCGACTAGGGGATCTCGACAGAAGCATTACAATTTTGGCACCACACCCCAGTGGGTGTGGCTCTAAGGAAATTATCGATTTTAACGAAACCATGTCATGTTATATATAATTTTTCTCAGTTCCACAATGGGGTTTCGATCTAATACCTAAAATTGTTAAACCACACCCACAGTGGGTGTGGCTCTAAGAAAATTGTAGATTTCAACGAAACCATATCATGTGATATATCAGTTTGGTCAGCTCGACGAGAGGATCTCGACAGAATAATTAAAATTTTGCCACCACACCCCAGTGGGTGTGGCCCAAAGAAAATTGTCGATTTTAAGAAAACAATGCCATGTGTTATATAATTTTTCTCAGCTGGAAAGGGGGATTTCGACGGAATTCATAAAATCAGCTTGCAGCGAGTTTTCAATTTTAACTATCCCATGTCATGCCATGTAATACATCATTTATCTGAACTAAACGAGTGGATTTCGACAAAATAATTTGGATTGCATTAAATTAAGAAAAACCCATTTTCAAAAATTGTAATTTTTTACAATTTCTTGTTGCATTTTTCAAAATTCGGAAATTGCATACAAAGTTTTAAATTTTCAGAAACGTATTTTCATAATTTTATTTTCAGTAATTTTTGAGAAAAAATTGTTTTCTTTCGTTTTTAAGATAGCACTAAAATTATAAAACATTAAACTTTTTGACAAATTAAAATTTGAGCTGCAAATGAACTCAACATCACTACAAGTTGTGGCCCACAGCCGAAAACACGAGCCTTAATGGAAACGTAAAAATTCTGGTGGTGCTATTTCGGTGTGGGTGTAATTTAAAATCGGAGAAAACAAGTCGCCGAATGCCGCTGGGGGAGAGGTTTCAAAAATCGAATAATTTTGTCGGGATCCCCTCGCCGAGCTGAGAAACATGATATAACACATTGCATGGTTTTATTAAAATCGAAACTCTTCTGAGAGCCACAGCCACTATGGGTGCGGGTTCCCAATCTTAGATATTGTGTCGAATCCCCATCGTCGAGCTGCGCTAAACAACATATCACATGACATGGTTTCGTTAAAATCGATAAGACGCCATGGGCCACACCCACTGGGAGTGTGGCATGTAACCATTTGAACATTTCTGGTAGTGCCCAGGGTTGAGAGGTATTTTTTCGACATGAAGTTCGATTTGTAGTCTTTGAAATTTAGCGGTATTCATTAATTATATTTTATAATTTCTTTGACCTTGTGACCTTGATTTCGAGGGGGTGTGGACGAATTTAAAAAATCTGGAAATATATATTTCGCCCATTGACCTTAGATTTACAAAACAGTCAAAAATTTGAAAATCAGTCAACAATTTGAAAAGTAACCCTTGACAACTTGGTTCCATGCTATAGTGCTTCCCAGGTTGGGCATTTTCAAGAAAAAAATCTCAAAACTGTTTTGGGAAATCGGCCAGGAAATTTTCAAGACAAAACTTCAGGACCTGAAAAATCGTCATAGGACAGACAAAATACTATTGTATTACATACTGGGGGCCCTCATACACACGAAAAAATCGTCGCTTCGAGTTTCCCTTAGTTTTTCGCTTAAGTCCTGATAAGCTAGCTCTGGGGCAAGTGAACAGAAACTCAACTCAGAAGTGGGGTTATTGTCGGTTAGCTGCAGTCGGAACTAAATTTTACAATTTTCATAATTTTAGCCTTGCTATCGATAAGCGAAATTCGAAGCGACGATTTTTTCATTAATGAAAAGTTTGTCGTGTCAAAATTAAATACCCAAACTGATCAGAAATTAAATCAACACTACGTCTATACATTTTGTATATTTATAATCAGCATGAAATTACCCGCGTTTTTGTATGTATAGTCTATAAATCTCACTTCATCATTCACAACGTTGCTGGCTATATTAAAAATATTGGAAAAATTCACGATCGGGTTTAGCTGTTGCCAAATATTTCCCGAAAACGTGATTTTGCACCGCATGTTCTGTTCGAGTTTAAGTTGGACTAACTTATCTGGCACTAACCAAACCCTTATTTGTTTACCTCCATTTACCGAGTCATACATACCTATATGCCGCATGTCAGGATTCACTAAATAAATATTGGTCCAATTGACCACACCCTCGTGGGGTGTGGTTTCCATGTTTAGAAATGATACTTTTATTGTGATCGTCTTGGTCTACCGAGCAAAATGATATGTCGCATGCCAGGGTTTACCTATAATCGGGGACACTTATAGCCCCACCCCCTGAGGGGGTGGTTTTTGGGTCTGGATGGGCTGTCTATAACCTCTTATCTTCCCCATCAAATCGATATGTCGCATGATGATGTTTACTGTGTAAGGAATGCAATTAAATGACATCAATTTAAGTCGTTACTTCTTTCGTTATGTATGTGATTTGGAGGGGTGTGGTTGGACCTGTATTCGAAAGTGGCAGTTTCCGGCACCAGCATTTATTCTCCACACCAGAAGGTCTCGAATGGTATCGAAAGCAAGTTTGTAAAGCACGGAAATGGACGGAAATGCTAAAGGGCGTTTTTCCCTATCTCCGCAATGTGTTTGGTAAAGTTTACCCCCCTGGTACTCCGGAGTGGGTGTAACTTTTGACTTAATATTATACATTTAGGTCAACATGGTAGTGTAGTCCATAATCGTATACAAGAGTAGCCAATTCAAAGTACTGCCTTAACGGCCACATTTTTGGTCCCCTGGCCCATAGTGCGCCGTGCTTGTGAACATGTTGGGGTACACGCTGGCCGCCTGGGTGAACAGTACGTCGACCAACGTGTTGCAAACGCATGCTCGAAGAACGATCCAATTTGGGGGGAAGAAATCCATGTTGGCGAGAGAGATCAGGGCGTGTGGCGTGCTCAAGATAAAGTTCGGCTCGAATTTTATCGACAATGGAACCCCGCTCGTCATGCAGAACTTTTGCATGAACCAAACCCTCAATCTGCTCTTGATCAGTGCGGGGAGAATGGGGGGAGGTCGGAAGGCTTAAGTAGCCCTGGTAGTTTGGACTTGGTCATAGTAATACTTATTGAACAAATAAAGTATTTAGCATTTTTAACACAATTTTTCATATTCTTAATTTCATATACTTTTTGCTTGACCCCCTTCCTTCCACATTACCTACGATTCATTCACATTATGAAGTAAAATCAAATCAAAAGAATTGTGTCAAAATTGTATTTTGTTTGTGAACGTCAATTTGACGTTATTTTAGTTCATAATGTGATTGAGTCGTAGAGAATATGATTTTTGTAACATGTCTCAAATTCTTATCTCTTCTGCAAGTCCCCGCATAAGTGAAATGAGATAGACCACAATGGGCATAGTGATCTTTATGCAAATAAGGTGACACACACACACAAAATTCTGCTGTATGTAAATATTCGTTAAGACCACACATTTGCTGAGGAACATTGATAATGTATTTCAAGAATTTGGAAATCCAATAAACTCACGTGTTAAATATGTAGTTAAAGAATGGTTAGAAAATGCTGGAAGGTGCATATTTATCTAAATATGTACATGTTTGCATAATTGCACCCATATTAATAAATGTCCAGTATTAACAGAAGTAGTTAGGTTTTCAGCCTCTCCGTGTAACAAGTTGTAGATAATTATTTAGATGAGCAGGTTCGTTCAACATGTTCCGTTTAAGTTTCCTTTTCCTTGACCCTTATTGCCGTTGTATGATGCTTGTGGTACTTATTTTATGGACACGTGCATATGTATGTACATACGTATTTAGTAATCCAAGTTCGGTTACATGCACAATACATACGTGTCATTTGTTAATTTTGTTGCTTAAGGGATAACCCAAGCATCAAACTTTTAATTTTTTTCCAAGAAAACGACGCCCACTGATTTATTGGGGCTACCTTCCATTATGGATCACTTGTCCATGTATTTATAGATACGAAAAAGGGTCCAATTCCAGGAATCTCCAATTATCAAATGCAGTCGTGAAGTTCACGGCGTGAACAGAATGGTACCTGTTCCACAACCATAAATCACTTCGCTCATGACAACGAACCAGCAAAGTTGTTCAATCCCAAAGGTTGTGAATAATTGTCATAAAAATTTTATATTTGTGTAAAAAGTTCTTAATAAAATTTGTCGACTTTTAGTAATTTGATACGAAGGTAACTTAATATTTAAGTTTCTGTCTGTCCTTAAGTAAATAATATCTAAAACCGGCGTAAATGTGTTTTTGGTATTTGTTTAGATCACTTCAGGACCACTTGAAATTTTGATCATGGATAATTTGGAGAATAATAGAGGTGACGACGCCAGAGGTGACGAAGCTAGAGTTGACGAGTCCAGAGGTGACGACGCTAGAGTTGACGACGCCAGAGGTGACGACGCTAGAGGTGACGATGCCAGAGGTGACGACGCTAGAGGTGTCGATGCCAGAGGTGACCACCATGCCAACGCTAATGGACATCTTGTCGTCAACCTACCCGAGGTATGTATGCAAATGCTGTGCTCATGCAAATATTCCCCATCTCCAAAAACTATTGATAACTTTGATAAGAAGCACATGACAACAATGTACTACTGCATTACTGACTGCGTGCAAATGTTTGAGACCAGACTACCGAGCAATTACTAAAAAAGTTCTCAGTATTTGAAATTCAAATTTACACACATTATGCAAATATCTAAAATACTTTGGAAGTGCAGCCTATTTTTCTGCAGAAATATATAAGCTAAAAAATCTTTCCAAAATTATTAACTGATTGGCTATCCAAATTTTAAGCAGTTATCATTTTCCCACGATTAATATAACTATTTATTAAATTTCTTCCAGCTTTTGGCCAAAGTTATGGCCTTCCTCCCGAAATCTGACCTCCTCACGTGCACCCGAACCAACTCCATGTGGGAAAAGGAAGCCCGTCTTCGTCTCCTGGCTCACACCAGACTCAGGCTAACTGCCCGCAATATCCAACACCATCAGGACATCGTTGCAGTTCGAGGAAATTGTCCAAAACAACTTGACCTCATTCGATTCCGAAATCTCTCCCGCGAAGCCGCCTTTGCCGATTTGATCGCCAAAACCGGCCACAACATCAGCCACGTGAACGTCGCCCTGCCCCTGCCAAACCCCACGAGTCGTCAATATTTGGAACACTTGGCGAATTCCTTCCCAATGCTGACCACTTTGAAACTTACTCTTTGCCCAAGAAAGTTTGCAATTTACCCTTATTTAACAAAATCTCCGTCAAACCTTCCCAATTTTGCGAAACTTCGAAAACTCGTAATCTTATCGTCCTCCAAGAGAAAAGGTAGGGCCAAGGTTGACTTCCAATTTGTCCAACGGATACCCGACTTAGTCTCCCTGTTCCCGAATTTGAAATCCGTTTCCTGCTTCTTTGGTGGCCAATCCATCCCGGAAACTTTGGTCAATTCCTTCTTCCTGAAGTTGATGTCGCTTCGAATAATAAATATCGCTATCAGAACGCCAAACACGCCAAATGTTGAACGTCTTACCCGTCTAGAAGTAGGTGATTATTTGCGTAACAGACACCTTTTGTCGCAAGTGCTAAATATTGTTGCTAAAAATTTGCAATATTTAAAAATCTCTGAAGTGAACAATTCGAACGTTTATCCTGTAACGGATATCCGCTTTGAAAAGGAAATAGTGCTTCCCGTCATGCCAAACTTGAAAGTTTTTGAATTTTTACAAAATTCCGCAGTCCGTCGGAAGAAGTGGAAAAGTAACGTGTACACGCCGCACATAGGGTTGAAGTTTGTAGGCAGCAGTGACGCGGACAATGATCCGCGAATCGTTTATGGGGAGCAGTTTCCCGTCCTGAGGAAAATTAAGATTTCGACGCGAGACCCGAATGAAGAGACGCATTGCTACACGGCCAGCCTTACTCCGAGGAACGTGTTAAGGGAGCAGGAATTTTTTGAGACGTCGGTGTCATTTTTGTTTAATTCGTTCATTCATCGGAGCAATTCGAGGTGTTTGACGTTGAAAGAGTTGGATGTCGCGTTCCCGCCGGAGGACCATTTTTCGCTGTTGGAGATGAAGAAGTGCAAGTGTGGGGATCAGCCGCATTCCTGCTACTCCTACGAGTGGAGGCCTGCCTCCTACTTTTGGGAATGGGTGATCGCCATGTTTCCCAATGTGGAGAGATATGCGGCCATGGGGGATGTTGGGGAAGAGATGGTTGAGGATGATGACCCTTGGCCGGTGTAATTATAGATTTTGATGAGCTTTTGGATACGAATCCCATGTTGGCAGTAAAAAACAATTTTAATTGGATTTTCATAATTTTAATTATACCTATGTAGAAATTTATTTTATCGTATACGACATTGAGCTGAGTTTTTTTTAATTTGTTCAACATTTTCTAAATTATTATAACCACGGGTATGTATGTATATCTTCGTAAAAGTAAAAATTTTAATAAGGTTGAATTTGATATTGAATTTAATATTAAAAAATGCTCAAAAATTGTTCGACGATAATTTTTGGGACACTTTCTGTATATTCGTGCCAAATTATATAAAAATTCATTTACAACTTTGAATTACAAGTACATGTGTGTAAATAAAATGCTGGTTAATATTCGTCTCATTTTTCGAGATCAATTTATGTTTTATCTATTTACAATGAAATGTTTTCTTAAAGTTAAGTATTTGTAATCCTATATTCAAGTGCTACTTAATAGATATCAATTACATATGTATCTGCTTACAAGTTATTTTACAAACCTTGACACCACACGATAAAATATGTAAGAATAAAGTGGCAACCAGTATTTATAAGAAGATGTGAGGCATCTACATACATACATATTACCTTATCTAGGATTAAATGATATAAAACTTATTCTTAAATGTATACATACATATATTTGGTAATTTCTAATTAATAAAATTATTTTACCCCTTGTAAATAGCCTGTCATTTCCTGAAGTATTTTTTGCACCCTGTCAGGAAAGAAATTGTGAATGTGCACCCAGTCCAGATCAAACATTTGGAAATCTTGCACCGACATCCTGTCCTTGGCGTCCTTTTGTAGAAATGATGTTAAACCCAATATAAATTCTTGCACCGCAATCTCATCCGCGTTAAAGTTTTGAGTAGAATTTGAAGCCAATTTGCAAGTTAAATTACGCAATTCTGCACCCACGCAGGGCACCAAAACTTCAAAAATAATTAAACCTATCGAGTAAATCTCGGAGCTAAAGGTAGTTTCACGTTCGGGAGCGTGATAACGCAAGTTTCCTCTGCGTGATGCGCTAAATTCGTTGATATTTCCATCCAGTGTGGAAGACAAGCCAAAATCCGCAATTTGCACAGGAAGTATAAATTTTTCCTGAAAATCTTCTTCAAATTGGTTTATTGGGGTTCCAAAAGCAGTAAATAAAATGTTGTCAGGCTTCAAGTCACAGTGTAGGATTTTTTTGGATTGGAGATATTTCATTCCTCTGACGAGATCCCGGCAAATTGCTAACTGATGCCGACCCATTTTGGTTTCCGGATTTTTTCGGAGATTAAATGTCTCGGTGAGAAATTGGCGCAAGGTGGGACCAGCTAAATTCATTTTGATCAGACAGCAAGGAACCGGCGCTAGCCGGCAGCGGAGAATTAGTTTTTCGGTTTGCATCGTTACAGAATCTACTGATGAAGATATGTCGCTTTCGGTCATGTCGTCGGGGATGTGGTGGTCATAATTTAGGAGGACCTAGGAATTAAATTGGGTGTTAAGTTAGAATTGTGCAGACATACATATATTTATATTTATTATAATTGGCGTGGCGTTTGATGTGGCAGTTTATACATACATAAATGATTTGGAATATAAGTAACAGTAATAATTTGGTGGGTTTCAAATTCTACTCTTATTATTAATCTGAACATTGGCCGGGGAAGCTGTGGGGACATCTGGCGACATTAACATCTTAAGATAGGGGAAGGATGGGTTTATATAATAGGAGCAGGTGATGGGGGCGTCGAATAATTGTGGGGACATTGTCCTTCTGTCCTCACACTTCCGCGGCCACTGAGTCTGAGTACGAGTATGATAATTTATTGATAATACCGTTTGCCACTAAAGCATCAAAAATGTGTTCAAAATCAGCTGCATATTAATATTGAAGAGGGTTTAAAATTGCGGGCATGGTCGGATGGATGATAATTGCGCGGTAATTCAGGCAAAATACAGATACATTTTTTTTGCATAAAAAATTCGGCAAATTCTTGGTAAATTCCTAAATTATTGCAATTATTTTACTACCTTAAAATCCGCCTCTGTTAACAAAACTTCTTGTGCATGTTTCGTCATGTGAAGCACATTTGGATGGATGAGATCTCTCATATTTTCCACTTCCCGCATCACATTTTGATCCTCGCCTTCATCATTCGAGGGAACAATTAATTTTGCTGCGCATCTGTATTCCTTCACGATTTCGTCCCTGGTCTGAAACACAAGTCCGAATGCTCCATATCCCAGCAGCTCAATGTCGGAAAGGATCGTCTCCAGCCAAACCGATTTAATCGTTGGTGTCAATTTTTCTCGGAATTCTGCATCGTCGAATGCACCATACACGAAGAAAATCTGGTCGAGCCACATCCCACCCTTTTTTAGAGATTTGATTTTTATCATTTCCAACACATTGGAAATTTCCTCGAATTTTTCGCGATTGTTTTCAAGCTCTTCAAAATGTCCGTAATCATCGCTCCTCTCATTTATTAGCATGTGATCTAGCGTTTCTTGCCAACTAGCGTGCGTTGTGTTTGAACGAGTCGTTAACGCTATGATGTCATCGTACATAAGGGCAACCACATTTGCGACGATGTCCTGATTTTCACCGTCGTTTATGAGCTTCATGACATCCTGCTCGTCACGTGGGACGAAAGGGGGACGTTTAGGAGGCATTTTCAAACCAATACTGGTTATCTCAAGATTATCAAAGTGTTCTAAGCTCAAGGATTCTGTGCTACTTGGAAACATCATCTTGCGTAGAGTGCAGGATAAATCGTGATGATTGGGATACATGATTTCGATTTGGTCAAGTAATTCTTCACTTCCGGATTGAAAATTTTGCGGAAATAATAATTGCAGAATTAGTAACCCAAATTTGTAAGTAATTGTCGGGATTTCGGTAAGAGTTAAGTTTGACATTTCCCGCTCAGAGGCAAGGGTAATTAACGATTGGTCATCGATAAATACTGGCAATTTGAATTTGCCTCTATTTGAGGATTTCCAATCCACGAAAAATACGTTTTCTGGAGATAGCATGGGCAAATGGATGTTTAAGTTTTGATATACAGCGATACTGTCAAATAAACTTTTGATAATGTCAAATGTAAAAGAATTTGCAACCTGGGAGTTATAATTAGTGAGATAATCTTGTAGATTAGTTCTTCCCGAGCGGTACTGAATTAGCCAAAATTCAACATAATATCCTGACTGGATTAGGTCGATAACGTCACGGGGAAGATAACTAGATGATGAAATGTAGCTATATAATTCTTCGGAATAAACTGTACGTTGATCGATCCTGTCGTAAAAGTGGTGATAGTGGTCCACAGACAGGTTGAGCTTGATTGTGGTAAACATTTTTGACACGACTTTTGTGTTTCCTCCAGGTTTTGGCAAGAGCAGCATGACTCTTGAGCGAAATTCTGGCATGGTTGAGACATCCTCTTCTTTTTGAAATAGGTAGCCATGTTCCCCCACCCCGTGATAGGAGAAGTGTTGGATTTCCTTGAGCCAGTGGGTAGAAATAGAGTTGCTCAATTTGGTCAAGAGTTGTGGAGAAAAGTGGATCTCAAGGTCCAATATCAGGTCAGCAGTTAACCAGGGTCTGAAAATGTTATGATAAAATTAGTAGGAACCGTGCAGAGGTGTCAAACGAGTTAGGGATTTAGCTTATACCAAAATATACACGGGGTATGATTTTTGAAATTTCGCTTTAAATTCTTCATCAAACTGGGAAGATTCTATAGTCTACGTTAACATTGAATATTGTCAAAATTTGACGAACCAATAATTTGACAAGGATTATTTTGCTCGGAAAGTCATACGTTGTGTATATTTTGCGATAATGTGACTTCGTTTGACACCTGGGTATGTTACTTAATTTTAAACATTAGTTACTTCACAGCTGCATACATACAAAGCTTTAAGCAATTATATGTATGTTTAAGTTATAGCATTTAAGTAACCTTTTATTCTTTACGTAAGAAAGTATATTCTCCAAATTAAGAGAATTTTTTGGCTCCACATTAGGAAGTATGTCCTCTTGGTTGAATAAGTTATCTACAAGTTGACCGAGACTGCTCATAGTCAAGGGAAGGTTTATCAATTCGAGAAACAAGTCTTGCATGATCCCTCTTCCAACGGGGTAAACGAACAATTTCAAGCGTTCCTTTGTGTCAAAAGGGGTATTTTGGCACTCCTCATTTTCAAAGTCCTCCTTAAATGCGTTCCAATCAATAAAAAGATTCGTAATTTGGTGGGAACTGTATGTAGAGTGGATCAATCTATGGATCAAATTCATGAGGGACTTTGAAGCAGCGATTATCGGGGCATATTTTGCAATAATTTCCACCTTAAGGTCTCTCTCATTCTTGATCGTTGTAAATTCATGAGCCAAATTATGAAAATCCTCTTCCGCCGTGGCAGATAAACAGTAGAGCATGATCAATCCGATACAAAACGTTGTTTTGTTCGGGGTGTTACCCGAAGTAAATACTTGGTCAAATTGGGAGCATGATTTAGTCTCCCACTCGAATGAAATTATGGAAGGATCGAATTGCACGATAGGAAAGAAAGTGAGCACATCACGAATCAAAGTCTGTCTCGGAAGTAGGACACAGTTTGTTAATTCTGCGCTTAAAAAAGCTTTGAGAACTTCAAAAAGGCCGCGGCACACTTGTATTTGATAATGAATTTGTTCCGTCGTTCTTTCAAAATTTCTGCGTTGTGGGTATGTCACGTTCATCCAAGAATTTAGGGGTAAGTCGGGAATTCGAGAAGTTGTTAAGGTAATTTTACCCTGAGATTGGTCATCGGTTCCGATAAAATTTGGAACTTTAGTTCGTTGCTTCCATGTAACGTAGAGGAAACAAATTCCTTCATACTTTTTTAGCAGGGCGTGTTCCAATTCGAAATTGCTCTGTGAAGTTGGAGAAAAATATTGTATCCAGAATTCTGACCCTTCAGGAGTTTTACATCTAAACCGGAACTGCTCTGGACCTGTACCACTTGTAAAATTGATCTGAATTCTTGTACCACGAAGAAAAGTTAGGGAAGAGAGGAAATAGTTTTCCATGGTGGAAATTATATCCAGCATGTTGCTTCCCATGGGCAGGTCGGGCCTTACAATCAATTCCAGTACTTTCAGAAGGTGTTGGGACCTGTTTAGCAAATAATTAAAAATGGTTAGTAAATACATACATACATATGTTCGACTATGAAGGGTATAACGATAATGATTAAAACTCCGTATATACATTTATCAGTATTTGATTTCTTGCACCTTATCGGCATTTCTTAAACTGCAAGGCGTCAGAAATGAATAAAAGCCGGTGCCATCTAGCGGCTCGAATGTTGTACTACATTTAGTTTTAAGGATTATCCGCTAGATTTATCTTATTTCCTTCGTTTCTTCTTCTTGTACTATACTCATGCAAAGAAATTATGCCTGCAAAACATTTTGCCGTAATTTCATGCAGGCGTTTTTTACAGCAAACACTAGCTTTTAGTAAATTATAAATTTCAATTTATACTGAATTTTTATTGGTCAAGAACAGGGTTCGGAAAAACCCAGGGTTTTATTCAAAAAGTAACGACCCAGGGGTTTTAATGGGTTTTAATGGGTTTTATGGGTTTTATTGGGTTTTATTAGGTTTTACATAAGTAATACATTGAACAACAATTTTCACAACTATTGCAATCCAATTTCAGTTAATATGCAAATTCTCCTTGTCCATGTTAGAATTTGTATCCGTTTCGAAAGGGTCCTATTTAACTGATCATAGTTTAATACTTTATGAGACCATAATTACATATATTACCTTTTTCTCGAATACTTCCTCTCATCATAATGAAATCAAAGTTGTTTAAAGGTTTTTAAAATTTAATGTTTCAATGCGATCTTAACGTGTATTGTCAATTCTGGAAAAAATCGAGTACTTATGAACAACGAAAGCACAACGCACGTATGTATTACGATCGAGAATATAATAAATGCTTTTTACAGATATACTATTTTGCTCATAATAAAGTACTTCGTTGTCCATAAGAACTCGATTTTTCAAGAGGTGATATTATATCACCGTGATAATTAAGATCGGTTTGAAACATTTTAAAAAACTAAATTAAAAAACACTATAGTATTTTGTTTAATTTATTCGCTGAGATGAGAGGAAGTATTCGGGAAAAAAAGTATTAATTATGATCGCAAAATGTATTAAATTATGTATGATCAGTTAAACATACCTCGTTCCCAAAGTATTTTTGTGTATTTTTTGTCACTTGAAACCTGTAATGGTAAGGGATGTCCCTGATTTATTCCTGGTTTTCAAAACTTACAGTATTAATCAAATAAACTACTTAGCTGCCATCAAACAACTTCGACTAATGTATGACAGCTGTTTTCAGCTTTTAGAATATAGTTTTAAGCTAAAACGCAGTTAAAACCCATTAAAACCCTAATAAAACCCATTAAAACCCAAATAAAACCCATTTAACATGGTAAAACCCGTTGGGTTTTATTCATTAACAACCCATTAAAACCTATTAAAACCCAAAAAACCCAACCCAATAAAACCCTGGGTCGGAATACCCTGGTCAAGAAGATCAACACTCTGAGAGTAAAATAACCAACTACGTACTAAACACAGCAGATCAAACACGTTAACACTAAAATGCAATGTTGGGAAGCCTGGTGCATAATTAGAATTGAAATTAGAAAGTATATTAAAACTGCAACTTACTCATGCTCAACAACGTATTTAATAAATGATGCTTCGTCCAGATTACTCGGTATATTTTGCAACCCAATTTGTTCACTTAAATATTGTGGACTCCCAATTTGTTCAGAATTATTTTGATATATTTTTATCACGTATGGAACAAGTTTCAGTGTCAAGTCCGGTTCAAGGTTCAAGTTAAATATTTCGTGATACAGTGTTTCTAAGTCGCGTAGAGTTTTTTCACTTTGGTTTGACATTTTGTTTTTATTTTAAAATAATACACTAAAAAATTGAGATCAAAGAATATTCAGTCAATTTGCTTATTTGACACGAGGAGAACATCTGTTGTTTGGCCAAGAGTCACTTGTTAACTATTTGGTCGATTATGTAAATCTGTAAATCATAATGTATAACATTTAGCTAAAACGTCTTTCGCATAAATTTGCGCATACATATACACGTATTTATCGACATGCACACATAATTGCAATAGTTAACCATGTAAAGGATTTCAGCTTTATGGGTACGAAGATACTCCATTCAGTGAACTAAATATGTACCATCACGTTTTCATTACACATTTTTGCTTGTTATTTTGAAGTTTTGTTTGCTGCTTTATGCATGATTAGTATTCACGTAATTCCATTTAATTTTAAATTACATGATACATAGTGGGAGCGAAGCTTTGAAGAAAGCATGGGCTAGTCAAGCAAGATATCTACATAATATGTACTCGTATTTCAAATGAAATAATTTATTTCTACATGATACATGGATACATATATTAATACAAAGTCGACAAGTAAGGCTAAATAATAAGTATGTGCATATGTATGACTTATAAAAAATTTTCCGGAATTCATTTGTGCTAACACGACGAGAAATTGATAAAAACTTATTATCAAACCTGTTGACCATACTTTTCTATGTACTGATAACTACACTTCCTTATGACACGAGAAAAATGGAATAGATAACTAGTCATTTAAAACTTAGCTCTTGTCATAATTAGCAAGGATGCAACCTGCCGAATGCAAAATTCTTGTACGACAAGTGGGGTAAGGCGTTCGACAAAATTGTTGCCAAATTCCACCCTTAACGGTGCCAATCGAACAATCCTCATCTCCAGCGACGATCGCGCTGTACAGCTTCGCACCCAATTTATGCTATCTTTATTCAATTTACCCGCAATGGTAAAAACCAGAAGACATGCCATTAACACGACAAAATATCCCGATCCAAACAGTGGCGCAATTAGCATGTAGGCAAGGTAGGCAAAAACTAGGGGCCCCGCGATATCAGGGGCCCCCACGTCTGCTAACCATACATAATTTACAAATTAAAAAAAGTTTATTAGTTAAAGAAACTCCTGATCGACGAATTTAATTGGTCTTAAACTTTTCATTGTAAGTTTTATGGTATTTTTTCAAAATTAATATGTGTATGCTTGAAGTTTAAAATCAAATGTTTATCAAATACCTGTATACACACACAAGTATGCAGATTTTTGAAAAATTTTATGTAAAAAAAATTTGAAACATAATTTTAAAACGTTTAACGAGCTTCTGCAGCCACAATCTGCATATTTCGTTTCGAATTTTGGAATGTAAAAAAAATATCTTAAATGCTAAAATGCAAAAAGACACATACACACACAAAACTTTTTTGGTCATTTGCCTAGGGGCCATAGTTGCGCCACTGGATCCAAATGCGACCACCCGGAGAAAATCCACTTTGGAGTGGTACATCAAAACAACTGCGACTCCCATTACAACTTGTGTCACAGAAGATACATAGCCAAACACGAGGAAAATCCTGCCCCTAATGGCGAAATTTATGATTCTGTTTTCAATTTGCAGTTCACGATAAGCCAAAATATTAGAAATATTTGTTCTCGTATTTTTCATCAGATCTTTGTATCTCACGAATTGATATGAAATACAGTAGCAGACTATGATTACGCCGTAGTAAGTGCCACCGATAAGGGATAAAATAGAAATGATGCATTCCATGACAAAGAAAACTAGACGAGTATGCAATTTAATCAGTGATAATCCATCCTGACAAAAGTGGGAGGAGATTAGGGGTGCTTTGCAGGGAAGGAATATATTCAAAGCTGCGATTAGGATGGATGAGAAGAAGGTGAATATTTCCGTCATGATGACAATATATTGGACAAAGGTTACACTGAGGTCCATCTTTTCTCCTGGTCGTTTCCGCATGCCTGTTAATAAATTATTTTGTTTCATTAATTCCCGTGATATCTGGGATAGAGGTGAGAAAAATGATCAACAGAGGAGCTTTTCCAGACCGAGTTAGCTTTTGAAAACCGCTGCTCGACTCACCTCAAATTCAAAATTGTAACTTTTACCTGGGGAACTTATCACATGATTGAGTAGTTGACCTGGGAGGTGATCCACAGTAAACTCCCATCTCAAAGTTATGCAAACAAAACAGATTTCCACTAACATAACGGCTTCGAAAGTATCTGCAATTGTGGTAGAATACTTCACGGTGGACACGATCTGGGCCAGGAAGTAGAAAAACTGGCAGATTAAAGTGAACCTAACGAAATTTTGGGCTTGGGTTGTTTTTAAGATGACGCGATTCATTGTTCGATCCCAAGTTGTGTATAAACACCTGAAAATTTCGCCGTATTTCAAGTAACGGACCAGGATCCGGGCCAGACCGAAATTTCTTGAAGACATTGTGTGTAATTTATGTGGAATTTGATGATTTTAAAATATAGATCATTAATGCTGGATATTTTACGTTTTTGCGTATTTATCAATGAGGTCAAAATGTTAGATAGGAGTAACTGGCAGAGAACCAAATTTGAATATTGATAAAATCGAAGAAATTATGTGTAATGAACAGGCGGAAATCCTGGAAAGTTGTTTATTTGGTATGTAGTTACAAGGCGAAATATTGTCATGTCGATTATCTGTATTATCACAGTATGAATGTTTGCATACACTCTAATTAATATCGGCAACAAGTTCGTAATATATAAGAATACATAAATACGCCGAAACTAAATAGGCACCATATTCGTTGAGAAATTTGATTCCTATGATCTCGATATGGAATTATTTAAAGTGTTGATTAACAAGGGAACAATATGATATTGTTTTAGCCCGTCGAAAATCTATTAAAATTGTCACGTCTGACGTGTTTTCAATGTTTTTGTGTGCATGCAATTTAACATTTGGTGACCTTTCGTAACCTTCGACGTTATAATGGAGGTATGTATGTATTATGTGAGGAGGTTTCTTCTTGCCCATAGGGGCAGAAAACCAGCCGTGCAGGTCACCAATTGGACATATTGCAGACTTCAATGCACTCGCATGCGATTATTAGGTCAAAATGGAGATCACCAGGGAAAGGGTTAAGTTTATGTTCAAATTGATATGCTTATGCAACTTAACCTTTTTTGACCGTGTTGGCGTGTTTTGCCTTTTTGACCTTTGTAGGTGTGGCCACTAGTGTCCATCTTTGAACTGCCGCCTGACGTTAAAAGTTTACGTTCAAAATTCAAGTTTGTGTCTTTTCATTCACGCATTATCGGAGAGACGGACATAGCGATCTTACCCCTTAATTAAGTTTTTGCCCTTTAATACTGTGTGTAAATATATTCAACATTACAGTCGAATGTAACAACATTATACGATTCTCCAAGAAGAATCTGGCCGATGGAAACTATGATAGGTACATAGATATGTACATACATACCTATGATTATTTATCATCTCTGAGAATATCGGTACAATTCTATACTGAAATGAATAAAACATAGACATTAAATATTCGAATTATTATAGTATTGATCATATTTAACTTTAAATTATAGATATGATAGTAGGCAATGAAAATTTAAGGGAAACACAGATTAGATATTGAAGATACATATTCAGGTATATGCATGTATAATAATATATTAATATGTACTTATTTGCCCTAATTAATACAGTACAATAATACATTGACCATCATATTCATGCCATGTTATATGATCAAAATGAGATAATTTATGCATTTTATTTATAGAGTGTATATAGTTTTGCAAATTTATAACATTGCGCTTATGGGAGAAAATTTCAAAACTGTACTTTTCAAAAAATCACTGAGGGTCTTACAAAAATCGCACAGAGGCAGTATACATGTCAAAATGTTCAGGATGAGTTGTACCAACTTTTTAAAAATAAAAATACCAAGGAAAAAAATTTCTTGAGGTAGGTCACTTTTGGCGTTGGAAGTCAAAAATTCATAACCTTTGACCTGGTCATCACTGTCCAAAATTTGGAGTCCTATCTTGTCAGAAATGCGATTGGTTATTACCTTGCAAAATTTCAAATTGTTATCTCACCAATTGTACGAGATATCACTGCGCCAATGTTGGGCGAAGACTTATGAAGGGCAGTGTATGTACATATCAGAACCAAGAATTGTGCAGTGGTGTGTGTTACCAGTTGAACTTGGCGCTTGGTTACACACGTGTCTCACATTGTCCAAGCTAATGTCACCTAGCGGCAGGTGGGGCACTATGTTACATTTTTCGTTTCTAGAGGGCGTTTTTCGCTAAAGTGTCAAAACGTTGACGAACACGAGAACAACGAAACACACCCTTTAGATCTGCCGAGACTTGATCAAATGAACGGGCACACCCCCTAAACTTGACATTTGACCTGTGACCTGGGCACACCCACCAGACTTGACATTTGACCTGTGATCTTGGCACACCCACTAGATTTGACATTTGACCTGTGACCTTGGCACACCCACTAGATTTGACATTTGACCTGTGACCTTGGCACACCCACTAGATTTGACATTTGACCTGTGACCTTGGCACACCCACTAGATTTGACATTTGACCTGTGACCTTGGCACACCCACTAGATTTGACATTTGACCTGTGACCTTGGCACACACCCCTGGACTTGACATTTGACCTGCGACCTGCGTACAACCCATAAAGTTGACACTTTACAGAGTTGACACTTGACCTGTGGCTGTGGCTTGGGCACACCCATCATACTTGACCTGTGACCTGGGCACACCCACTACACTTGACCTGTGACCTCGGCACACCCGCTACACTTGACCTGTGACCTGGGCACACCCACTAGATTTGACATTTCACCTGTGACCTGGGCACACCCACTAGATTTGACATTTCACCTGTGACCTGGGCACATCCACTATACTTGACCTGTGACCTCTGTGCCCCACGGTAAAGTTGACACTTGACCTGTGCCTTACTAATTTTAATTACCTACCAGCGCCACCTATCGGATGTTGGCTGTTTTTCAGCGCTAGAGGGCGGGCTTTTGGTTTAAGTGCCTAAACGTACTTAAAACGTTAGAACAATGCCATACTTCAGAGTTGTGACCTAACGTTTTTCGTGGTAACCCCCTTTAGAGTCGTGACCTAACGTTTTTCGAGGTCACCCCCTTTAGAGTCGTGACCTAACATTTTTCGTGGACACCCCCTTTAGAATCGCAACTGAACGTTTTTCATGGTCACCCCCTTTAGAGTTGTGACCTAACGTTTTTCGTGGTCACCCCCTTTAGAGTCGTGACTGAACGTTTTTCGTGGCCACCCCCTTTAGAGTCGTGACCTAATGTTTTTCGTGGTCAACCCATAGAGTCGTGACCGGACGTTTTTCGTGGTTACCCCCTTTAGAGTCGTAACTAAACGAATTTCGTGGTCACACCGATAGAGTCGTGACTTAACGTTTTTCGTGGCCACCCCCTTTAGAGTCGTGACTGAACGTTTTTCGTGGCCACCCCCTTTAGAGTCGTGACTGAACGTTTTTCGTGGCCACCCCCTTTAGAGTCGTGACTGAACGTTTTTCGTGGTTACCCCCTTTAGAGTCGTAACTAAACGAATTTCGTGGTCACACCGATAGAGTCGTGACTTAACGTTTTTCGTGGCCACCCCCTTTAGAGTCGTGACTGAACGTTTTTCGTGGGCACCCCCTTTAGAGTCGTGACTGAACGTTTTTCGTGGGCACCCCCTTTAGAGTCGTGACTAAACGTTTTTCGTGGTCACACTCAATTACAGTCGTGACAACGTTTTTCGTCAACACACCCAATTAGAGTCGTGACAACGTTTTTCGTGGTCACGCCCATAGGGTCGTGAGTGAACGTTTTTCGTAATAAAATAATAAAATCGTTTTGCTTAGAGCCCGCACTGCGGGCTTAAGAGCCTAGTGTACATATAAAACTTGTCACCATGGAATTCAAGACAATATTTGCAAGCGTAGGAGCGGGTTTAGATAGCAAAAAAGTGGAAATAAACCTACTCCAGCCAGCTGAGGATGAGTCTGTCACTACACACTAGATCTTACAACGATGAATGAATTTAATAAAAAAGTTAACAATCATTAAAAGTGTTTAATAAAGAAATACTATTAGATATCTAGTTACATAACGTGTACTTTTAATTCAAGCACGTTAATTATTGCTGTGCTATTTAACATGCATGTGTATTAATTGCAACCTAACTCCACAAGGATTATTAACAGAAAATTGAAACTGGGTAAGCAAATTTAGCAAATTTAAATTCAAAGATTTATTTAATTAAAAACTAATTATTAACCTAGTAAAACTATTTAATTCTTGTACTCGACCTACTTGCAGTGGACCAGCAGGGTGGACGATTAAATCAAAATTTTGAAGGTAGCGATTTATACGAAAATAATAATACAATATTTTTGATTTCTTAACAGCACTATATATGATATATCTCTAATTAAATTTTGTTTAGAAACGCAGGACAGGAAAACTCAACTTTCAATTATATATTGATTTGGAATGGATTCTGAACTGGGTAAGCATATTGTAAAGCTGCGGGGAAATTGTAGAAGCAGAAAAATGAAAAATGTAATGCGATCCTTCGAAAAACTCTTCAGTCATTGTTAATTACCAGACCTGGCTATTTAACCCAGGTTTAATTAATTTTGACAGGTATTTCCTCCCAAGATGACGTGATAGAGGTCACCCCCGCTCGTTATCCCTATGATGATTTACTTGCTCAAATGGACCCACGACCGTCCCGGCACCAAGAGAATTTTTTTCTGTCAAACATGTACTAATGCATACTCAAAACGGAAATCATTGCTAAGGCACGAACTGAACAGGTACGTGTCGGCAATTAATTTATTCTTTATTCCCACCTGGTTCTAAAAAATGCAAAAAAAACGTATGCTTTTTAATCTAATAAAGCTGGAAATCAGCAAATATTCAATACAGATGTATGTAAATGTAACTCCATTATTACAGGTGTACTGGACTCAATTACAAAAGATGTGAGAGGTGTAGGATCGAGTTTGCAACGACGGAGTTATATAGAAGCCATATAACTTTCGAAAGGTGGGTATTATCCATAATTGTACTAATATTTATTGATGAATGCGGGATTCTATATTTATTTTATTTGACAGCTGCATCAAGAGGCCCCCCGCTGGAGGAGTCAAAGTTGGGATCATTACCAGCAGTAAGGTGCAGGTTGAGGAGTGAGTGGAAGTTTTAACGAGATATGCATATTTAGACAAGAGAATTCATAATTCAAGGTTCAATAACTGTGTAGAAATTGTTCTGGGATTATCTGCCCCGTATCCACGTGTCGGAGATGGTATCATGCTGATGAGTGGCGAAGGGCGCATGTGCAAAAGTGTCACGCAACTTGGGATAACAGATGTGTCCTATGTGAGGAGAAGTTTGATACGTACGAGGCCCTTTTTGACCATCTGAGAAATACGCATGGGTCCTCGGAGGAGGAGGAAGAGCAAGATCTCGTGAGAGTAAAAACAGAACTGATTCTGGACGACGAGGAAATTGGTGGGGAGGCGTCCGGAGTGGAAATTGGTGCAGGAGTAAGGATTAAACAGGAAGTTGACCTGGATGCAGAATTAGACATGGATAAGGTGAAAAGAGAAGTATGTGACGCTGGAGGAGAAATTTGTAATGTGGTAAATGTAAAAATTGAACCTGGTCAGGAATTTTAACCTAGTAGAATTAAGTTCTTAATTTTTTATGAATATTTTTATGGAATGAGAAGAAATTATTTAATAACATATTTAGTTACACGGATTATGATGCAAATTTTAAGTTAATCTTGATAATCAGAATTTGAATGGAAACTCAATAAATGATTATGTCCATTGGTGATACATATGATGAATAGAGGAAAATTTTCACAATCTTTCATTATGAGCTATTAGTAATCTCTGTGACTAATTTCGGTTTGAAATTAAAAATTGGTATGTGTCACCCAAATAGGTGAAAATGTTATCAATATCATGTGCCTGCACTTGATTTATCTGAGCTTTGCTTTGTTATATGTAGATAAGGTGAATATTTCGTGGTAGAATTAAATCTCGACAAGTGAAATATCTTCAACCCTGACTTAAATAAGCTCTAATTAATTACAATATAATTTCCTGAAGTTGCTTTATATGTATTTACTGAACCAATCGATACCGTTTAAACATTCAATTTTTTCGGAACACTTTAAATTTTCGAAAGTGTGTCGCTTCTTTAATTGCATGTGCACCAAATTCTTTAAGCGTCTAAAGGAGTCAAGTCAATGAAGAACACGGTGTCAAGCGGAGGGATTCCCCAGTCAATCCAAACATATCCTCCAAAGCAGTAGATTCTGTTTAATCGGGGCACAAATACAGTGGCAGGGGCGGACATAAAAAAATTAGCATCCCCCAGAGGTAGATGTTCCACTGGGATGTATCTATTTTCGAAAGTGACTGTATCAAACTGAAAAATTCCAGTTGTGTAGACAGGATCCGTCCCATAGCTTGGACGGTATCCTCCCAAGATATAAATGAATTTATTCCCATCATAGGCAGAACTGGGGCGAGTGTGAAAAATTGGAAGGGTTGGTGGTCCGACCTGCATGACGCGAAATGTCTCCAAGTCCAACTCCAATGACTTTCTATTCAGTACACTTTGTCCTGAATCAAAAATGTAGACCTTGTTCCCCACGCGGCTTGCGGCTGCGTCGTAAATCTAATAGATAAGTATTTATTGAGTCGATCATTTACACATATATAGTGAGATTTGGGATTAGCCTATGCGTGAGTACATAAGCAGAAACCTAAACAAATGCCTAATGCAGTAAATTACTATTCATCGAATTAAAATTATAAATATTGCTTTGTCCCCCAAAAAATGCCATCTAAATTAAGTCAACTCTATATTGCTCCGTTACGTTACCAATACATTAAATTAAGAGTAAGCTCGATAAAGTCACTCTCCTCATATATATATTTAGGATACCGTGTTTCAAAAAACGACACTACAAGACGGGATTTTCCTACGCGTTTTTTCCATAATTAAGTACTACTGAAAAACTTGCCTGGAAATTTTGGTAGATAAGAAATTAATTTGCTAAAATTTACTTGGCGTCCTCTTGAACCCCTGTATATTTTATAAACTTAGAACATAAATATGTAGATACCTCCTGTGGAAAAGTAGTGACCACGGCAGATTCTCCTGTTACCACGTCAAGCCAATAAAGCTGGCGATCTCCATCGGTAACATAAATCGAATTACCATCGCCATCATGGTCGTTGAGGGCTACACCCTCTATAATATAAGCGGGAAGTCTGACCAAGAATGTGCTTATTTTCGTGACCGGGTCGAACTTATAGACTTCCTGCGTAGTGAAGTGATACATGTTCCCAAAACCGTCACCGATGATGTTAATCATGGCAGCTTGGCCGGTCAGGTTGGCGACAAACTCTAACGCTCCAGTTGAGATTGTTAACCGGAGGATTTTGTTTCCTTCGACGGTATGACATCCATCAAATAGATAGATGTGATCCTCCCCTTCGTAGTATGGTAACTTGCACCGGTTTGGGCCTGGAAGTGGATCTAAATATTGCGCCTTTAGCAGCTGCGCAGTTGCAAAACTAGCAAGGAAACCAAATATGAAAACCGTGACTGAAATGAAATCTCGATTTGAAATATGGGAAGACATTCTGTCTCAATTTGCAAATGATTTTTAAAGCAATTTACAAAATATTGTCCACCAATAGTGTCAAACTGACCCTATTTATGTACATATTCCAACAAGGAAAATTAATTAAATTAAGTGTCAATCACCAGTGTGGGGACGGTTCAAAATGTGATAGCATATAACTCGTATTATGATATTATCATACGATATGATAAGCTGCTCCCGAAATTTTGCAACGATCACTTTCAATTTACTTTTGACATGTTGAGGAAAAATTTTCTCGAAATTATTTATCTACCTTGAGATAATAATGTGAAGACTTAGACTAATTACAACTGTTTGCATTTCACTCGGGCATATGTAAATGGCATAAAAGGTTGATATTTAACCTTAACCTTTATGGGTAGTTGCTTATCAATGGAATATTTTTCGTGATGGCATCACGATTAATGTAGTTAGTGTTTCTCACGGGTGGGTTCTTACAAATCCGAAACTCGAACCGTGGTAATTGACAAATGTTGGAGGGTTTCCGTCCATTCATGCTAGCACATAAAATACAATTTCATTATATAACTTACACTTCGCAAGTTATGAATCAATTTCAGAAATAGACGTAATTTCGCACAATGGAGTATGTATTGTCTTGTCGAATTTTTATTTCATAATTTAATAACCATAATTAACCAAGTATGTATTTCATTGTGTTTATATAAATGCATTCCGTCACAGGAACTGATGCATATGTGGATATTTATTTCGTAATGTGAGTTATGTTATATCGCCCGTTATATCGACCGTTTCAAATTACATTAAACTCAAATCCAGAGTTTGCTTGATAAAATACAAATATAATTCTACGGTGCAAGGTAAGCCAGGTTATGAGATTAAAAATAATAATTAGTTAAAACCAACCAAAATTGTGGATAAAATCGTGGGACAATTATTTTTATGATGCAGTCGTATATTTGGATTTCCTCAATCATGCATCGAGTTTTCGCCATCCTCGTCGCAATTGCGGTTGTCAACGGTGGCTTTATTAAATGGACCGTCCGCCGGTGGCGATGCCCAGAAGGGAATAATGCTACCCTAACATGTGCAGAAGAAGCCGCTGATAATCCAAATCCAAGCTGCGTGACGGTCAGCGAGGATAAATTGACCTATTGCTTGTCCAAAGCTATTGATTTGTCGAAGTTCGACGACTGCTGCAATCGAGTCGGCGGAGGACGGGCCGTGGAACGGGTAATTTTGAAATGAATTAATTATTGGAATGAATTTTGATAAACGATGGGTCACTATTTTTCTAGAATTTCACCTCTGATGGCAACTATCCAGCAATGCCGTGAAATATAAATTATCAGCTATGTATTATCACCTAAGTGGCTTAAGTTTAATGTAGCATGTCACATTAATAAAGTCCTTTAAGGAAATTTTAGATTTTCTTATATACCATCCCTCCTTCTCATTCGCACAAGCCGCAGGTATTTTTTTGTTAAGTAAAGGACGTTGTTATCTAACTTTTGTAGATTTTATCGCAACAATGACTAAACGAAGGCGCAATGACAAGGCAGAAAATCCCTGTATACCTGTAAATAGTGTAAATACATACACTTTACGCTAAATTGGATTTTTTAAATGTCAATGTTTCTTTCGCTGTTAAGATGAATATGTATGTAAACCATTTCTAAAATATTTCCTGTACTTCGGTTATGAATATAAGTAAATACAGATACTGGGCAAACTAAACTTTAGAAGGTCAGCGTATATAAATACATAGAGCCGATTATGTCACCATGGTGTCATTAAAGGGTGGTCTTTATTATTTAGAGCGTTAACCGGTTGCCAGTATCGGGACAGTCCCACTAATGGAGTACCCCATTAAAATTAATATTCGCTTATCTAGATATTTATCGTCATGTGTCACTCAGTCGTATTATTTGTTATTCCAACAAAAAGGGGAAAAATGGTTTGTGATTCACATTTGATTTATCTATCTATGTATGAATTTATGGACTGTCAATTGTTACACACATAGATGCGCGGACACTCAGTGTCGGACACTGGGTGTCGTCCACAGTGTCGGTGTCAACAATTTTTTTGAGTGTCAGTGGACACTGTGTCAGTGTCACTCATTGTAGCCGAGTGTCAGTGGACACAGTGTCAGTGTCGGCCACTGTGGCAGAGTGTCGGTGGACACAGTGGCAGTGTCACTCATTGTAGCCGAGTGTCAGTGGACACAGTGTCAGTGTCGGCCACTGTGGCAGAGTGTCGGTGGACACAGTGGCAGTGTCGCTCACTGTGGCCGAGTGTCAGTGGACAAAGTGTCAGTGCCACCGATTTTGTCCGAGTGTCAGTGGACAAAGTGTCAGTGTCTCGCTCAAACGCGCATCTATGGTTACACACAACATAACAAGGACAATGTTTGTATACATGCATAAATTTTTAATTTGACGATTTTGTATTTACGTATAAAATCATTGCCAGTATGTTGAACTTGATAAATTGCGCTGTTGTTGCAAGAAATAACACGCAAATAAATGCATACCATCCCTCAAAATTGAAGCTTGTACTGGGTAACAGAACCATTTTCTTGTTGGACATCGCTCTACAGTTGGAAAGCGACCCTACATACAAAAATGGAAAATTACTACTCTTCCATTCCTCTCCATTTGCCGACAAGTTGCTCCGTGGTTATGGTTCTTCCTGAAGAGAAACCCCAAATTCTAGATAATCAACTAGACGTACAATTAAATCGAAACATAAATCCAGTCACAATAGTGAAGCCTGAATATTTGGTGAGAACTAAAAGTTCCCTGCCTGGAGGAATTTGTTTGGTGGTCGTGACATTATTTTTAGCACTGGACGTCTCCATATCATCCGCTCTACTTTTAAATCGGATGCTTACCCGGGAGACAATGTACTTCCTAATTTTACCTTCATCAAGTCCAGAAAAAATAGATTTTAGACAATTCCAGTCTTCCAATTTTCAAACGGCTCATCCAAACTTAATATTATTACGTAACGTTGCTCAGCCAAATAATACAGGATTGCAAGTTACGATGACACCAATTTGTTACCTTTGTCCGGAAACGAATCAAGTGCAAACCCAAGGAATTAATACTACACGTGCGAATTCCAGATTTGAACTCCACGACCTGAAACTGCTCATGAAACGGCTAAATTCTCAGGGTTATGGGAAGCCCGCATTTGTAGATGGCATCGGATCTCCCA